GTTTTTATGTCGCGTGTTGTCTCCCATCGCATTTTGTTCACGATGGCAAGATGCTTTCTACTTCTGCTCCTGCTGGTACATGAAGATATGTATTGCAGGTGATTCGTTTGTCGTTTCCTTACGTCTCGATCCTCATGCTGACCTAGGATTGACATACAATCTGGCCATCGATGTTGAATTATGGTTGGTTCAAGAGTTTTCCGGAATATTTGTTATTCTCTATCACTCTTTTGTGCATAGATTGTTTTAATCATGGTGAATCAATTTTACAGCGAAACATGATAGAGGCTCATCTTTAGGTCTATGGATCGTCATCGACCGCCCAACCTCTCTCTATTCGAGCTTGAAAGCAAGCGGACTATAGAGATTTCTCTTTGTCCTGAGCGTCTCACCGCCGGTTCACGTACTCTCTTTTTTGAGCACTCGGCCTATGCTGCACTCACAATAACAGCCTATGCATCGCTGGTTTCGGTATTGCCACGCAGAAAGAAACAACCACCTGATCCGGTTCGTGCTCTTTCATCCATCGTGACTTACTCAATTAATCAGCTGCACCGTGACCGCTAATTTTAGACAATTGACACAAAGTCAAGAAATTTGCATTTGTCAACTGGAAGTACGTTGTTGCATGCAATGAGCTCCATCGAAAAGTTTGTTGTAAGAAATCAGAAAGCGATGATGGCATCAGTTCACACTGGTACGCTACCTTCACGTTTTCGGCATGACTATCCTTCTTTCAAATGTGTTAAGCACAAAGTTCTTGTTCTTTGCAGTTTCCGACGATATATACCTTCAGATACCTGTAATGTTGCTACTGAAATGGAATCTCTGAAAAGTCGCCTCGACGCTGCTGTCAACCCTTGGAATGAAGTGGAAAATNTATGCTGCACTCACAATAACAGCCTATGCATCGCTGGTTTCGGTATTGCCACGCAGAAAGAAACAACCACCTGATCCGGTTCGTGCTCTTTCATCCATCACGACTTTCTCAATTAATCAGCTGTACCGTGACCGCTAATTTTAGACAATTGACACAAAGTCAAGAAATTTGTATTTGTCATCTGGAAGTACATTGTTGCATGCAATGAGCTCCATCGAAAAGTTTGTTGTAAGAAATCAGAAAGCGATGATGGCATCAGTTCACACTGGTACGCTACCTCCGCCTTTTCGACATGCTTTTCCTTCTTTCGAATAAGTTAAGCATAAAGTTCTTGTTCTTTGTAGTTTCCAACGATGTATACTTCAGATACTTGTGATGTTGCTACTGAAATGGAATCTCTAAAAAGTCGCCTCGACACTGCTGTCAACCCTTGGAATGAAGTGGAAAATATGGCTGTGAATCTCAGTGCACGTCTTTCTCTTTTGTACAGTCAACTTGTTCGGTTATGTATAGGATCTCCTGGTACGTGTCAAACTTTCCACAGTCAACTTTCCTTGATTCTGTTTTATCGTAGCAGTGGGATGATCCATGGCATCACGCTCTACCTTTCTGCTTCAAGAATCTATGAACTTTTTTAGTTTTCTGCAGAAAACATTGGGCGGCTGAGAAAAAATCCTAAAAAAAAGCTGGAAAAGCTGTAGAAATCTTTATTTCTACAGCTTATCAGGCATCAGTGATCAGCCCCATGTTAAGTTTATTTTAGCATTTTACCTCAGGAAAACTATTTCCCTCAGCAGTAAAGCATACCGCTTTGACAGATGAATACCTTCTCTCGTTCCTTTAATCCTCAGATCACGATCATCCCTATCTGAATACCCTTTGATCCCAAGTTTCCGTTTGAACGGCCTCTTCTTTTGGCTTTCATTGAATTTACGGAACAGCGTTTGGCATTGCTTCTATGTTTCACCCTCCACTTTCAGCGATCTCTTTTTCGTTGTTGCAAGGATACAACAAGTTTCGGCAGAAAATGTTGTCCGAATTATTTTTCTTTACGGATAATGTACCGCCCGATCATTTCAAATGTAACTGTCTGGATAAGGCAAGAGAATTTTGTATTTTCCAAATTTCTTGTTTTTTTTTCATGAAATTGTTCTAGATATTTGCTCTGGTATCAAAAAGCAAGTATCTTGAAAAGCTACCTCGATATCCAATCTTCTGTCGTGGACTGGATACTAGCCCGGATAACTGGTAAGATTTGAGCTTTGTCTTTTTTTTTTGAATTGCTAGAGATGCTCCAGGTGTCTTATTGTCGAGGAACGCCTTCCGACAAATCGTCCCAGCACTTCTGGTGGGAGTGAAATATTAACCGAGAAGGTACTCCGGTTCTAAAACACTCTCATTGAAAACGAGCTTTCCATTCGGAGTATTCCAGGTACCATCATCAAGTGCTGCAGCCGCGGGTGATAACTCCCAAACTTCATGTCGCTCACCGATACGAGAGACCGTTTCTCATCTTCCTTGGATGCGGCGGAAGAACTCAAATGGGAAACCATATTCGTTACACCATTGTGAGATTGGCGATCTTTCTGACCGCTTAGTTCGCTAATTTGATCTTTAGCTTATAGCGGACCCCGATTCAAGTCTGCAATCTGAACTCAACCGCCCAGAGTCATCATCCATTTCTGGGAATGACTTAAGCTCCGCTGTGGATTTTGTAATGGAGCGTGAACGATTGAAAGCCACATTATTGGAGCAGAAGCTTTTTGATGGATATTTGTACAGGTTTCTTCATTGTAGTACTGATTTTTTTATGTCATAGCCATGTAACGTACGTTCAGCGAGCAGGCTTCTCCCTGGCAATATACCCCTACCGTGAGCAAAAAGCAACCCACTCATCTAGTCGTGTTTGTTCATGGACTGGAAGGTTAGTTTACCTATCTTGAGCTGTGATATTCTTGTTATCGTTTTTGCACTAAAGTACAGTGGCGTTACATATAACCGATTGGACAGGTTCGAAGGGAGTCATATTGCTCATAGAAACCAGGTATGGAACGTTTGCAGAGTGATTTGCACACGTTCTAGCGCAAAAGGGCTCTTCTGAAACAGTCAAGGTGGTCATAAGCAAAGGAGTCCGTTAAGGATCGGTCGGGATGGCTAGGGAATTTTTATATAGTTTTACGACTTTGAGAGCCCTTCCGTTGATCTCGATCTTGAGATAATTTCACCATACCTCACTTAACTTGTGCCATTGGTAGGGACCGCAGCTATGATTTAAAAGAAACAGTGATAAGTATGGGGGTAGTTCAGTGTTTTTGAATGGCTCCGGTGATAATGGGCTAGAGTTTCACGGTAAGATTCTAAGTGCGAACATAATTCTCCATAGAACAGACAAGTGAGTCCCGTCCTTGACACTATTAGAGCTAGAAGGCGGACCCATTCATTGTAAGTTCAATTAACCCCGTAGTCTCGGAGCTTGGGTGCACTTCGTTCCGCGCGTCCATCGAAACTAGGTCACGCCGCAGCCGTCGCACGCGGCGTGTCAGATCGCCATCTTTGACAATCGTTGCACTTGTCAGCGGAGCATATGAATTGCGCTCGGTCCGCTGCAGTCAGCTCAAAGAGAAGATAACACGGACTAGTACAAGTTATTAGCTCCACTGACACTTAGCGGTACTGTAATGTCGTCTCGATATCGCAGTGGGCTGCGCCGCGCGCGAAGTAGGCGGAGTGACCTAGTTTCGACGGGCGCGCGGAACGGACGTTCCTCTCGGAGCTTGGGGTTTTGGTTCAAGAGTCGTATCGGTTTTGGTTAAAGAATCGTCACAGGCTGTAAGACGACGAGAGACTTAGAGAGGATCGTCATCGTAGGTGACGACTTAATTGTGGGTGACTTTCAATGTTCACTATTACAGGAACATGCGATGATCTCTCGTCATATAGAAATATATTCCGTGTTGTGGCTGATAATGTTCCTGGATTTTGTTACTTACTCAGTGCTTCTAATCATTCTAAAACGTGGTCAAATTTCGACGACATGGCAGATAACTTGCTCTCAGAAGTGCATTCATATGCATCACGATATAGCGAACTGCCTGCACGTATCAGGTAGATTTCAGACTTCTCATTTGCTAAGTTTTTAATTGAATTTCTATTTTTTAGAAGTAGAGATGTATATTCGAATGTAGGCCTTTACCTTAGTTCTATGAACCTTTTTTCAGCTTTGTTGCCCATTCACTTGGAGGAGTTATCGTGAGAACAGCGGTGACTCGGAAAGATGCATCAGACTGGCTCGTTCCCCGGTTGCACTGCCTTTTAACAATCAATACTCCACATCTTGGTCTGGCTTATGTTGGAAGAGGAATCAACCTGGGAATACAACTTATGCAATGGTGAGTCGTGGAAAATCAAAAGTAAGATATCTGGCGGAAGTAGCGGTAATGTTCGATGCCTTTCAGGGGATACGCTCATCGTGTGCTCTTCTAGCGTACCTTCAACGCGTGAATAAAATCCTTGATAAAGCTGAAAATGTGTCTGTTATGTCAATTGCAATTTTCGAATTCGCAATTGTTTATTTGGGCTGTCTACTATCGTGTTGCATGACGTAACGGGGAGCCCTTCTCAGGAATTATTTTGTAAGGAACTCATGCGCGGGTTCATGAAAAGCTTTGTTGATCGTCTATGTCAACCGCTGCAAACAACCCTCTCCGATTTTTCCCGTTACCACTCTGCGAGTGTCGTCACATTGCATTGTAATTGACCATGAATAAAATATACAAGCCTTCTTAACCTCATAGGTTTTTCCCAAAAATTCTGTAGGTTCCGGCTGTTCGAGGATTACAAACTACATAACTGCTCAGAATCTGAAAGAGTGCTGTTAGTAAACAAAAGAGAGTAACTTGGTTTTCATCATTATGAGAAGATATGGGCTGATAAATGGTCCCTGCTACTTGACTAAAAGCTTAGTGTTTAGGTGGAAACAGTCTCGGTCTATGGAGCAGTTGGCACTAAAGGACGAGGTTTCCTTTTCTGACTCGTTCCTCTACCGACTGTCGAAGAAAAGGACATTCGGCCTCTTTCGATACGTTCTGCTCATTGGAACTCCAGGTAAACTCATATTAATGTGTTGAGCGCACGCAGCAGTTCGCTCTCAGCAAAAGAAGACGAATTCCAGCTGATATGTTCGTGCCTTGTCATTCCGCTCTTTTGTCATCTTGTAAATCAGCGATGAAAGATCCATCTGCACTGGGTACTACTTACAGGTTAGTTTTCATTTAACCCCTCATAAAAATTTCTACTTACGTGCGCGCGTTTGGGTGGAGAAGGAATACTCAACAAGTAGGACTTCGATGGTTCGATACTTCTTAAAAACAATTTCAATAAGGAAATTGGTTGCTCAGTGTGATGTTATGTGGACCACGTCACACCCGTAATTGGTTGATTAGTTCCGCAACCTGGGCGTAGTCAACAAGTTACCAACAATAGTGCGTCATAGCTCACCTAGCCTTCCCAGCTCAAGTCCGTTTCTTCACTAGACCTTCTTCTTCACCTGATAGAAGCTCCAAGGATACATTTGTTACTAGCATTCAGTGAAAGGAGAAATGGTTTTTGACTACGCTCTTGTTCACAAAGTGAACAATGTTCGGGCCTGTTCTATCGAGACTGTCTAACAAAGGAAGAATGCACGATTGTTGAGGCCGTTCATCATGGATGTGTACCGCCTTATGTGCTCCCGAATGCCCGTACCTAAGATTTTTTCCACATCAGGAGTTGGTAAAGGCGTATTTCCTAAGAGTCGGAAAGTCCAGGGCAGAACTTTTGGAAAACTTCGCCTTTTAATAAAGGTGCGCGAAGACAGCGGATAGACAACCTGAAGAGCAAGACTGTTTTGCAGGCGTTCGGCACAAGCTTATAGGAATACAAAACGAGCCTTCACTTTACGCCCGTGTGTCTACAACCCTTTCCGTTACGCCATTACTACACAGTAGATTTGCCGGTTAAATTGCCGGGGTTATACATAACAGATAGAAATAGGACTTATAACTTTGATCCTTAAATCGTGTGACAAGTTTGGAATACAGACAGGAAATCGGCGTTCTTATCTGGGGGTTAACATCTCATCTTGAATGCCAACTGCGATCTTTTCCTTTTTGTTAAGGATTTGTATCATGCAGCCTGCAAACTGAAAGAGAGTAGTCGTCTGTTACCAAAGCTTGGACGAGATTCTATTATATAATACGATATAGCGGAAGTATATTTCAACCTACTGGGAGCGGTCACGCCAAAAGCTCAGGTTGTATGAATGCTACTGAATGCTTTACGTAAATGCTTGAATATTTTGTGTAATATTTCGCTGAATCGATTTTGACAGATGCACGCGAAAAATCGATCTCAATCATCTTGTTTATATGATTTTATCTGCTGATTGCGAAAGCAGGAAAAAGTGTGCCCGATATCAAGACACTGATAGTAGTACCTTGATTCCTTGGTCACATCGCGAACTTTTTGTGGAACTTCAGTCCTGGGTATTGAACTCGATCGTAAGGCATAAAAGGACCGTGAACAAGGGCGCTATTGGTCCACGAAAACGATTGAGGCTGACTGATGCTCATCACTAGAAGTTCCCATCCATTCAACTAAATGTCCCCGTCCCAGGGTCCAAAGTATATCGTCCATGACACGCCAATCTTATGAAATCTGTCCATTCACTTTTTCGAAGGCAGTGATAAGCAGTTTGCTCAAATTATGCACGAGGAAGACTGTGACAATATATGGCTGCACACATATTGATAGTGTAAATCTGTTCCAAATAAAAAAGCTCCACTCTTGAAATTTCAGAAGTGTCCTTTTCTCCGCGCCACTGGCTAGGTTGAAATAGGTGCTTAGCAGTATGTTTGGCCCATCGGTATATGAGCAATATGAGTTTTTATAAAAATTTCTAGCCTTTTTCATTTGGTGGAACAAAGAATAAACTCAAAAAAGTTGTGGAGTGTAATGTGAAGCGAAGCGAGTTTTTATTTGAGCTGACGTGCAGAGTTCAAGCAAAACACACTCTAATACATCAATACTTCAGGCAAATTGAATGCTACTCATCAACAAGTTGTGTGTTGAGCTTTCCAGCTTATAACAAAAAGATAAAGTCTCTAGCGTTAACCGAGCTTGATTCGGGATTCCCGCGTTCGACTTCCATTCAGAATCGTAGTGATGGTTCGAATGCATAAGTGACCTACACAATAGATTACTGTGGCTAGCCGACGTATACATCAGTTCTTTTATCCTCCCAGCGAGTATGGTACGAATTAATCAACCCGACGGATTGAAGGTTTGGTTGGCCTGGGCGAGTATCGATCGGACCCGGACTATGTGTTTTATAACGCACCACTTGTCGCAGTTCATAATTACTAGAATTTATCGCTTATATAGGAAAATGATAAAGGATAAAGTTTATGAGGCGGAGGTGGTCTATTGGCAAGTGACGCACTATCTCACACGCACGGTTAGGGGGTCGAATCCCGGATCGATGCCCGCCTAGACCAGCCAGGCCTTCCATCCCTCCCGGGTCGGTGAATTGGTAGCAGGCTCGTCTGGGAGGATAAAAGCACTGA